TTGGGCCTTTTTGCCCGGGATTCTTCACTTTGCGAATAAACTATTCACAGCAGTGCCAAATTTCTGTAGTCACTGAATGCAGGTGCAAGCGGCCTACAAGCAAACCAAAAATCAAATCAATGCGACCACTCACATCGCAGCTGGGTCATGTTATAGAGAGGTACGTTGAAAGTGACACGTGGGCACAAATGGGCAAAAAACGACAATTTCTCACCGTTCTGCCCGTTCGAAGCTCAAGAACTGACCATCGCCACCCTGATCTTGTTGTTTAGCTGGACATAGGGAAGTGCACCAAGAAAAAATTCCACATTTCAATAAACAACTCGCCCAGGGCTGCTCAAAGCTGATATCAAACTATCTCGAAATTTTGGGCCTTTTTGCCCGTGATTCTTCACTTTGTGACTAAACTATTCACAGCAGTGCCAATTTTTCGGCATCACTGAATGCGGGTGCCAGCGGCCTACAAGCAAACCAAAAATCAAATCAATGCGACCACTCACATCACAGCTGGGTCATGTTATACTTAGAAAGGTACGTTGAAAGTGACACGTGGGCACAAATGGGCAAAAAGCGACAATTTCTCACCTTTCTGCCCGTTCGAAGCTCAAGAACTGACCATCGCCACCCTCATCTTGTTGTTTAGCTGGACATAGGGAAGTGCACCAAGAAAAATTCCACATTTCAATAAACACTTCGCCCAGGGCTGCTCAAAGCTGAAATAAAACTATCTCGAAGTTTTGGGCCTTTTTGCCCGTGATTCTTCACTTTGCGACTAACATTTTCGCAGCAGTGCCAAATTTTTGGATTCAGTGAATGCGGGTGCTAGGGGCCTACAAGCAAACCAAAAATCAAATCAATGCAATCACTCCTATTACAGCTGGGTCATGTTATAGAGAGGTACGTTGAAAGTGACACGTGGGCACAAATGGTCAAAAGCAACAATTTCTCACCTTGCAGCCCGTTCGAAGCTCAAGAACTGACCATGACCACTCTGATCTTGTTGTATTGCTGGACCTAGGGAAGTGCACAAAGAACGAAATGGCGCTTTCAGTGACATTTTGCATACAAATCCCCATCTGGTAGGGCGCAGTCACCCAGTTTCAGTGGAAGTACGCGAGTTCGATTGGGAATATAGGGGGAAGATAGTATCTCAGCTTCCTCGGACCAAGACCATTCGACTCGGCACCAGGAAGACTAAAACTGGTGAAAATTTGAATTTCGGCTTAACTTCCTCTTTAACGATGGCATTGAATCTTCCAGCTGTGGAGCTAGAAACATTTTATCCCTTCTGTGGATGGCAGTGCTCGTTAATCTGCTGGAGGAGGTATTTAGCTCTTTACGAGGATATGCCACCGGAGGGATGGGTAGAGGCAGGTGCTGAGCAGAGAGGAAGCTAAGATCAATGCCGAGTTAGATGCTGTTAGTTTTATCTGGCAGTAAGAACGCCTAGTGATGTATGCATCGGCCGCAAAAATCCTTCAAAGGTTTCATAATACTGATATTTTGGCCGTCTCTTTTCCAAATCTTGCCAAACGTACTATATGCAGTTTTGCCACCAGGCTTTGTGCTTGTTGGCCGCTGGCACTCACATTCAGTGACCCCAATAATTTAGCAATGCTGTGACAAGTGTAGAGAGTTGATTTTGGTCCGAAAAGGCTGCGGTGCAGCATTCCTCCTCTATTCACAATCGAACATGGTTGAACAAGCGGTCACGTGCTCCTGCGTACACCAGTCACCAGGTCACCGTGCCTGCAGGGTACAACTTACAGCTTGTTTGACCTTTTTTGGGTGCTGTCCTGTCACTCGAGTTGAACTCGAGTCGAACCTTGGTGTGAAAGTTGTTGCCTGCTGGAACGGTGACCAGATGACTTGGCACGCAGGAGCACGTGATCGCTTGTTCAACCATGTTTGATTGGGAATAAAGGAGGAACGCTGCATCGCAGCTTTCTCGGACCAAAACCAGTCGACTCAGCGTCCAAAAGACTACAATAATCACGGTCATCCGTGCTTTTATAAGAACGAAATGGCGCTTTTAGTGACATTTTGCATACAAATCCCCATCTTGTAGGGCGCAGTCACCCAGTTTCGGTGGAAGTGCGCGAGTTCGATTGGGAATATAGGATGAAGGGAGCGTCTCAGCTTCCTCGGACCAAGACCATTCGACTCAGCACCCTGAAGACTGGAAGACTGGTGAAAATTTGATTTTAGGCTTAGCTTCCCCTTTAACTTTTCCTTTTGAAGAATACGACATACAGGTTTATTCTTCAAACTTTGGTTGCAATCATGCTGCTGCAATTCTCACAGCATTTGTTCCAAACTGTAGCACAAAATCCAGGATTTTTGCTATGTTTCGTGCAAAATTTGCAGGACAATTACAAAGAAATTGTCATTGTATCTACCTGAATATGAATGCAATACACCTGAAACTTCACCAGAAGTTGAAGAAAGGGTCATGGTTCAACACTCCAGCAAAATCTCAATTTCGCCAAAATAGCACCTAAGGTTGGTTTTTGCAGAGCACTGGTCACATGTACTATAGTACTGTGTGAGTTATAACTCACTAACGTCGAGCATAGTCACAATACAACGCCTGACATCTTGCCCTTCAGGATACGGTTCGTCACTCTTCGTCACTCTTCATTGGCGTTATCGGTATGGGTGTGGTAAGTGCAAACTACCAGATTGAATCTGATTCACTTAGTTCATAGAACCATAATTCCCTCTTGCAAGTATATCCATCGTCCTAGCTGCTCGATGAGCCTGCATGTCCCTGCGTCGCGCGCTAGGGGCTAGCTAGCGTGCCATTTCAACACCCGCATTGGACTTGGCGATGTCGGCAGCATTGTGGTTCACAACCGAGGCTGTCATAAAACTCTAAACTGCTTTCAATGTGTTTACTCGGCTTCTAAAGGGAACGTTTTATTCCAAAAGTGTTTTAGTGAATGCAGCAAAGGGGATTCGCTCTCCATGAAGATTACCATCCTCGATTCAGACATCATGACTGCATCAGATCAACTGCTAGCTTTTTGCCGGTCATTTGTCGAACATCAAAATGTCAGCGAACAGAGCAGCTGCTTCCGAAGCGCGCGCGAAGCTCGAGTCGAACTTTTGCCTGCGTTCGATGGCTTTAGCGGGCTTTCGATGGCTTTCACGGGCTTCCGCGACTCCTGTCACCAATGGTTACATGCAGGTGTGCGTCATCCCGGCGCAGGAAGAGTACCGGTATCTACTTACTCAGTGCCACAGTGCCAGTGGTCACGTGTTGCCACCAGGGAGTAGTACAATATTGTACTACTCCCTGGTTGCCACTGTTGGGCCATTCTGTGACTGTGGCTAGTGTGGGCCGCTGGATGGAAGGACGGCCGTGGATGGCGAGAAAAAAAAAGAGCCGTTGCTCACGCCCAGGGAGTCGGGCTTTTACGACTCCCTGCTCACGCCCAAGCTCAGTCTGTTTCTGCCGTACCCAAGCGATGCTATGCTGGACCATCGCCATCGGTTTTGTTACGTGCATCGAAAAGTACCGTAACAGTTATGTTCTGCTGTTACCATGGTTACCTTGGTTGCACTTGCAGATCCAGCGACCTAGGCTGTGGTAGGGTCAGTCTCCCGAAACGGGTTGGCAGCGAGTTTGTTTGTTTGTTTGTATACTTTAGGCCACCCTTTCTTTTTTCGTTGTTTAACGTCCACGCCCGCGTACCTTTTTGCCTCCGACCGGAAAAAAAAACAAGAAAGTAGTAGTACCAATAATATGCGAAGTTGTAAATACATGATTGTGTAGTTTCACAGTGTGCCGATCATGACCTTAAACTTATAACCTTGCCTCCCTACCCCCCCCCCCCCCGGGCATGCCTTTGTCTTGTGTTCTTTTTCTTTTTTTGTTGGCTTTTAAATATCGTACGGTGTGTGTCCTAGTAAAAATCCAGATGTAATGAATTCATGACATGCTAACTCCATGCTATGTACATGTACCTATTTTGTTGGATTCATCAGACATGTGCTCCAATGTACCATCAAAGAGTGTTGTTCTATGCCTGCAAGTGCCGTTAGACCCAGAAATATTGTATATATCACATGCTTTACTGGTCAAAATGTTTGATTGGGGTTTCCAGTTTTTGGAATGGGCTTTTGTTTTTTTTCCGCCCTCCCGCGTACCTTTTCGCGAAAAAAAGGACGTTAAACAATGAATTAACAAAGGGTGGCCTTATTTGAATTCGCAAATCCAAACGAGCACAAATGCTCAATCACAAGGCAGCGAATATGTTATTATGTTACAGGGAAGGAGGGTTGGGGAGAAAAAAGAGAGAATGGTAGATATCTCAATGAAGAGCGAAGCGTTATCAAACTGCAAGTAAGCCAGCGAACGATACGTCGATAGTTCTGTAACCCGCCTAATACACTAAGTACTTTTTTTTCAGGCGTGCAATTGACTGTCATTAAAACAGAAACAGAAAAATAATAAGGCACCCATTTTGTTAGTCCAGGGGATGGCCCACGCCTGGTAAGTACTAAAGAGAATAAAATAGAGAACTTCTGCCGCTACCATGTACAATCATGTATGTACATGTACATGACGTCTTGATGGCAGTGGGCGCTGGTATAACGTATACCAGTGCCCACTGCCATCGAGACTGACAACACGTCAAGAGTACAAAAAGTCGGAGTCCCACTGAGTAGATCTACTGCTGTCAGTGATAGAGAGTAGAGTGTATATTACGGTATTATTATAATTAATTTTATAAAGAAGAAAGGAAAAGGACAAAATTTTACGAGTTATGACAAACTGTCCACCAACGTAACCAGATCTTATAGCCAGCAAGTGCGACAAAATGGCACGACACTGACAAGGGGTACTGAGACATTCGGCGACCTGACACCATGGACACCTAGCTCCAACACGTACTTCTCCAAGGCGCAAACCAACAACCTTCCAACTAACTTTACTTTTTTAATTTTATAAAGTATTTTATTATTTTTGTATGTAGATCTACATGTCATTGTAGACTGTAGACAATGTAGTGTAGTAGTGTAGACAGTGTAGTTCACAGTGGTTCACTGTTCAGTGAAGAATGCTTGCAGTGTCTCGGAGTAGCGTTTAGAAATGTGCTTTGTATAATCATGACAATATCTACATGATTGTACTCATGAGTCATGTATTGTGACACAGTTTTGTGAAAGCGAGTAAGACTCTACTAGTCTGGTACTACAGTCAGTGTACTAGTAAACCATCGTCATCGCCGAATCAATACTAGTAGTAGTACTGTAATAAAGGCGAGACAGGGTAAGGGTTTTTCGGCGGTTGTGTAGCAACTGGCAAGTCTTCACCAGTTTACCACTCACTCAAGAGAGCTCATCTACCACCTCGCTACACGTGCAGAATCAGACTTCACAAAATCGTTGGTAAGAAATCAATAATTAAAATGTCCTACTGAACAACATTACCATACCCATTGCAATATTGGCATTGGAAACGTACAATTATGTGAATGATTCAATGGTTATGCTGATTGCACTGCTGAGTGCACTGCACTGTCGGGCAGTGCGTGGTGATCGCTGGGTGCTGCTAAATACTAGTACATGGCTGTACATGTGTGTGTGTGTTGGTTGACAGCATGTAACAAGGTGGCCCGGAGACCAACGTGTTCGGAAACAGTAACCTTACTATTAAGTACTAGTACCTTCTTGTTTTATTCAAAGCCCCATATTTAAGTGAATATTAGCAAGAAAGTACTGAAGTACAAGAGAAGAGCTCGAGAGAAAAGGGAAACCAAGGAGGAGTCCAGGTGGAAAAGTAAAAGTAAAAGATAAGAACATTGAAAGGATCGGTCACACAATACGGCTAATTCCCATCGTGGATAGGATATTTATTCAATTGACAGCCCTACGCAAGAAGTAGGTCGTTATTATTAACAATGAAAAATAATATTTACCAAGCATGCCTGCAACAGTGACCTTACTACAACCATCCACGGCTGGTAGAGCCCTGGTCTTGACCGGACCCGCATCTGAACCGTATGAGTGTTAGACACGGTTCTGACCCTCTTTATTCCAGGGAATTGTCTTAGTTAATCATGGATGCAAGGCCGTCACAGCTTTGACGGACAGAATTCGTGCGCATTTCACCTCGCTGACCTACAACAAGAATCCGGAGATCGCTAACTTTATTTGACGTTAAAATATCGGGTCTTACGGTACTACCGTAAAGTACCGTTGATCCGCCCCCACGCCATGTCGCTTCCCAGCTGGGTTTTCGGCAGGGGGCGGGAATTAGATCAAGGCTGTCAAGTGCAGTACGATGTACAACAACGTAGAGGATCAGACTCAATGTGCTGGATTGTCCACATTTTGATCCTGGATTGGCAAGTATTGTGTACAGCAGTGCATGCGTCGGTTCAACATCGTATTTCGTTGTATACGCCAAAGTCGCTTCACAGGTAGAAAATCAACAGGGGGCGGGAATTAGAGAGGGGGCGGATCAACGGTACTTTACGGTACTAGTCCTACACTAAAGGCTACCACCGTACACACCGTACACATGGTACAGGCGATAATTTTTTTTACTACAAAAGCACTGGCCAGCAACATAAGAGGGGAGGTAGACAAAATTGGACAAGCAAACATTGACAACACAGAGGAGCCTGGCATGCGTGCCGATGAGGTAGGTCACCCTCCCCCGACTTAGTGGTCTCGGGTTCATCAGTTGGTCTACGCATCAGGAAGGGGACATGGACAGAGAAAGGGAGAATGAGCATGAGGAGCTTTCCAGGAGAGGAAGAGTGAGAGAGAGAGAGAGAGAGAGAGAGAGAGAGAGAGAGAGAGAGAGAGAGAGAGAGAGAGAGAGAGAGAGAGAGAGAGAAAATGATAATAATAGAGACAACCGGATATACCGTATATTCTCTATTATAAGCACAGGTCTCCATTACTAGCACAGTCTCTAATACTAGCACACTGTGAGCACCTTTCGAAACATTATAAGCACAGTCTCTATTATTAGCCCGGTCTTGGTGGAAATCAATGCTGCATGCATGATATCCAGCATGTATTTCTTCTTGCTCTCTATGGATGTATTGGTTGAAAAAATATAAGCACGGTCTCCAATATAAGCGCGGTCTCCAATATAAGCACGGGGTAGAGGGGTGTTGAAAATATATAAGCACGGCGCTTATAATAGAGAATATACGGTAGTAGTACAGTAGTCACCAGTCACTCACTTCATGGAGCCAGATACGCCTGGTCATAAGAACAGCCAGAGTTTTTACACAACATTCTGCGCAGGTCTTCCATTCTGTTTCGTTATGATTGTAGCCAATCTGGTGTTACCGTAAAAGCCCGTAAATATGTACCTGCCCGAAAGAAATACCCCCTTCATTCTTTTGGCTCTGTCTGTTTACCATATTCACTTCATAATACATGTGATAATGTATCATTTTGATCAGTGTATCACGCTGCACATAGTGCACCCATGCTACTCTAGCACGACTCATATGCCCAGGTCCTCAGACCTGTCAAGTGTCGTGCATGCACCATGTACATCTAGACTTCCTGCGTTAATGTGTAGATCTACCATGCATGGTGCACCATGCAATGCGTACATTTAATACTAGCAGGGTGCAACGCGGTCGCGCTGAGCGAGTGGTCGCCTTATCCGAGCTCTTTTGAATGTGAATGCGTCCGTGACAAGGAAAAGTGGTCGCCATGGTCGAGTGGTCGCCATTACTGGTTTTACTGTACACGCCGACGTTGCTTCACAGGCAGAAATTCCACAGGGGTGGAAATTAGAGTGGGGCTGATCAACGGTACTTTACGGTACATGTATACTGAAGCACGGGGTTTGGCATCTCAGACCACAGCTGTGTGCAGCGTTACTGCGTATCATGCCACTGCAGGATATGACAAGAACCATAGCAGTAGGCTTCGTACAACAAATAACATATCACACTCTTGAGTCGTGGAGAGCGATTCTCTTTTTACATCGTTTGCCACGCTCTCGTGCGAATACGTGTGCGGACAATCGTACTGGACGGCAATATACAGCTGCATAGCGCTCACCGCTCTCCAAAAATGCATTACCAACACGTTATCATTACTTATAAGCAATAGTCTCCTGTTGGGGGTGTTCGAATGAATACTTTGTGTTCTGTTCTGCATGTGGTCATGGTCTATTTACGCAGGCTGGTGCATTTTGTCAACTGAACACAGACGGTCACACCTCAACCAACTGTATGATGATTTGGACAACAATGCTTGTCTTCACCACCATTCTAGGCGTTCTGATTTCGTCCAGCGCAGTCGTCGCCAAGCAAACAATAAACTACAAATATGTGAACGGCCAACCCCTACAGGTACTGTGCGGCTCCACAGTGTCATAACAATGACACACTGACACAGTAACACACTGACACAGTAACACACAGTGACAGTCGTGTGTATGTGTGTGGACAATGGGTGCGCCGGTGACATGTCGACAACACAATCAGCTCAGTACATGTACAATGCTTAAAACACCGTGATTCTATTCTAGCAGATACAGCTTACAATAGCACAATGCTGCCTTGGCTTATCAGGGCCGGCGGAACCGGTCAGGCTGGTCCGGCCATGGCCGGACCACTTTCCCAGCTGGATGGTCCATGTGATTCGTGCAAAACCGGTGTAAAAATCCAGAGGTACATGACTCGACTGTACTGCTGACGTGTGATGTGCTTCGAAGTAGCTCAGGACTCCGTGACCGGCACTGTATAGCTGATATGGATACAAAAAGTTGTGTTTGTGTTCTTTTACTATAATTTTCTGCATTTTCTGGAGCCTTAGAGATGCCCAAATTCGCTCTATTTCACGTAAATTTTAAATATTTCTCCCGGACCACTCCCGAACTCCTTCCTCCGGCCCTGCTTATGACCGGGCTCCACTGCGGCTCCACTGCAGCTCCGCGGCATTTGGCTGCATGCAGCGGAGCAGTGCGGTGGTTTCACAGTGCCACTCACCAACCATTCGTGGTACCGCGGTCGTGCTCGACTTCTTGACTTTCTCAACTTTCAACTGACATTTTACCTGTCGGCGTGCACCAAATCCAAAAAACCCTCGTGTTCTGGCCTGCGCAACGAATTAAAATTTGAATTTTAAAATTCTCGCGTGTAAAACAATGCAACGTACGGCAAATAGGCCGAGCCGCGACCGCGGTGAGCAGTTTTTGATCAAGCCGCGACCTCGCTGCACGAGCTCGAGATGCAGTCACTATGGTAATGATGACGTTTCGTCCCACAGATGACGAGCAGCGGAGCCGCAGTGGAACCCGGCCCTTAGGGGCACAGGGCAGATACAGTTTACAATAGGTCATTGCTGCCTTAGAGGCATAGTTGTGTCATAAACTTTACTCTACAGGTAGATAAAACTAACTTGTCCTGGGTTTGCCCTAGCTTTACCCCGACTTTGCCCGGGTTTCGATGCTGGGTATGGAATACATCAAAAGAGATCTGTACGTGTCGAATAAAGAAAGCATTCATGGGGATCCTTCCTCAAAAGCTGTGTCCTTCCACTTCTTCTCCGTGCATGCGTGTGTATGTGTGTGTATGTGTGCACGCGCGCGGGCGTGTACGTGAACGGCATTTCGCGTGCACAGATTGATGTGTTTGACTATTCCGGTGCAGGAGGCAAGGGGGTGCACACACCGGCACCGGCTATCATCTACATCCACGGTGGAGGCTGGGAGCTATTCAGCAAGAACGATGTGCCGGACTACGTCAACAGCACAGCACAAGCAGGCAACCTTGTTCTGGTCAGCGTACAGTACAGGCTGACAGCTGAAGCACACAAGTAAGTGTTGCCAGTAGCATGACATACAGTTGTGTGCTCGGTGAAATCCAGCCCAACGTGACAACCCTGATGACCCATGTGAGGTGGTGCGAATGCAGCTGAACGTACGCGGGTACGAATAGAGTGATGTAATCGGAACTGGTCCAGGGCGCCAGTTTTGCACGTAGGGTCGGATTTCAGTGAGCACAGCTGCACAACTGCACTGTAGGTCACAAAGTGAAAATGTGCTTGTCCGCTTCACAACAAGAAACACCAAACTTGGGTGATCGTTTGGGTGGCAATCCTGGGTTGATCAGAGTTAGCATGACGCAGACTGTCTTCTTACTTTACTTGTCTTTGGTGGTGTACATCCTGACAGGGGATGCAAAACACACTGCCATAGTACGATCATGTACACTCATCACTTGCTCTACTGCAGCCAATGCAACAACCGCACATGTACTACAGCTATCTAGCCATCCCCATGACAACACCCTTCGCCCCCGTGACAACTGTAGCAAAAAGACCAACGGGTGTGTGTGTGATCCCGGTAGCCTAATCGGCAGGGCACTGTTCCGGAAAGACAGGGGTGCTGGGTTCGAATCCCGCTCGTGGATCCTTCTTTTGCAAAACAATACCCTTCGTCCCCGTGACAACACCCTATGTAGTCTGTGCGTAGTGTATTCATAGGAGTCACACTGGTTCTTTTGTACATGGTACTATGTGTGCATACATGTGCATGCGTGTCTTCTATTCCTAGATGGGGCGGTGTGGACGCCATCACCTGGCCAGCTCAAGGGGAGGATTGCCTGGATGCAGTACAGTATGTGCATGAGCATGCCACAGCGCTCGGCATAGACCGAGACAGGATGGCATGCTGGGGTGGCTCAGCTGGCGGACATTTGTGTGCTTACACAGCACTGAAAGGCTCAGACAGTTCAAGCAGCAGCAACACTACAACACTCCGGGCAGCAGCAGTTTACTATCCACCGACAAACATCCTAGAACTGTACAATGACATTGATCCCAAAGTTGGAATCGATAGGCCGGTGTTGAAGGCGGACTCGTTCGAGTCTCTACTGCTTGGCTCAGCCAAGTCTGAGATCAGCCTTGGGGATATCATACAGAATAGGAACAGCAGTCAATCACCTTGGCCAAGCATGTTACATCTGGCACAGTCAGTTGACCCAGAGATGTACATCAGCGCGAGATCGCCACAGATGTTGATAGCACACGGTACACGGGACCACACGGTACCCTTCAAGCAGGGCCTGCGCTTAGCCACAGCACTATCAAACGCCAACCGGACTAACATCTTCCTGACGGCGGACGGTTGTGATCATGCCGCTCTGCCAAGAAGCTGCTGGCAGAAGACTATAGGCGACACTGCAAACTGGCTGTACAAAGTACTGAAGTGATGGATGGTATCGCACCACACAGCACACAGCGCAGAGGACGGTCCAGACAAAACACATCAAGTCAACTGACATGTCACCATCAGGCACTAGAAGCAGAGAAACTATCCATACCACTGGAGCATGGTTAACATGATCTCTTCTTCTCTATTTCTACATCTGCACATAGGCACTAGCTCAAGCAACACATGCATTGCACTCTAGTATTGGCTTTATAGCTATCAACACATACACACATATGCCCCCCCCCCCCCCCCACACACACACACGCGCACGTGCGCACACAAACATACACATGCACGCGTGCGTACGCGCACAAGAGTACACTATGGGTATCAGCGGGTTTATATATTATATGTTTCATTTTAAAACTCTTTCATAGGGCTTATACTAATTCTAATTCATAAAACTGGCAGAAATGCCCAAAATAGTTAGCGATGCTAACAATGGCTTGATGAAGATTACCCTATTGATTATGTTCATGGTCACAAGACACTAGAATAGATACTATCTGTATAGAAATGCCAGAATACGATCCTGGAATAATTGAAAGCAGTCATGAGTGCGTCAAATATGAGCAGCTATTGTCCGTAGAAATGAACCAGCACTTCTTGGGTAGAATAACCTGTGAAAGCCATACAGACTGTATCAGCAATCAAGGAAAGCCGATACAGACTGTATCAGCAATCAAGGAAAGCCGATACAGACTGTATCAGCAATCAAGGAAAGCCATACAGACTGTATCAGACTGTATCAGCAATCAAGCCAGATAACAAAACATACTTCATAACCCTGACAGATCTGCTGCCTATTCTAATAGTAATTCCTTGCAGGCTGGCAGCCAGAGTCAGGAATGCACTAAGGCTGGCAGCCAGAGTCAGGCAATGCACTAAGGCTGGCAGCCAGGGTCAGCAATGCACTAAGGCTGGCAGCCAGAGTCAGGCAATGCACTAAGGCTGGCAGCCAGAGTCAGGAATGCACTAAGGCTGCCAGCCAGGGTCAGCAATGCACTAAGGCTGGCAGCCAGAGTCAGGCAATGCACTAAGGCTGCCAGCCAGGGTCAGGCAATTGCCAATGCACTAAGGCTGGCAGCCAGAGTCAGGCAATGCACTAAGGCTGCCAGCCAGGGTCAGGCAATTGCCAATGCACTAAGGCTGCAGTCTAGTAGGACAGTGACAGTGTGCACAGTCGACAGTGCACAGTACACATAGGCTATGATGAGCATATAGCACATAGCACTCAGTAAATCATCCAACTGCTTCACTACCCAGTGGACTCTGCACCACACCAAGTATGACGCCATGACCATAGCATCCAGTGCAAGTGTGCAAGTGTGACGACTGTACACACGCACACCATGATACCAATTGAGTCCACAGTACTGGTATGTAGGATGGGTGTGTGAGCATGGTGGCTCGCCTCACAGTACTACATGGTATGGTAGTCTTTATTTTACTTCGTCAAGCCAACAGGCAGTGCTGCCTTCTCACCAGCCAAAGGCTGTCTCTCAGAATAATGAACTACAAGTCATTGTGCTATGTACATTGTAGGATGGTGTGTAAGCATGGATGGTCTATGCCACCCGGGGTATGTAGGATGGTGTGTAAGCATGGGTGGTCTATGCCACCCGGGGTATGTAGGATGGTGTGTAAGCATGGGTGGTCTATGCCACCCGGGGTATGTAGGATGGTGTGTAAGCATGGGTGGCCTATGCCACCCATGACAAGTCTAGCAGCTACATGACGTATTCAGTAAGACGTTCACTGGGACATTTGCTATCGGTTTTATGTACCTACACAACCTAAAGTTAGCAGTCCAGCATCGTGTATGAGTCCTGCATACCATGTACCATGTATACGCCCGTCACAAGGCAAGCGGCAGCGCACAAGATCCGAACGAAACAGATCAAGATTAGCAACAGATAGCTGCCTAATCCACTCAACCGGCGAAGTCATGTGAATCCGACCCGTCATGTATGTATGCACACTCACTAACAGTACTTGCTACCACTATGCCACTATACCACTATACCACTATGCCAGGCTGCTGAAGTACTATGCTGCTGTAGCGGCAGCGGCAGCAGCAGCATAGTAGTAGCAGTGTGGTGTATTGCCATGACTGGGTACATGGTGTGCAGCAGGATCACTAGCATGACCCTGACCATGACTATCAGCATGACTATGAGCAGACAACGGTGGTGGCTGACTAATGCGTCTCACCAGTGCATTGAAGCTGACTGACATGCGCTTGCCAGATCCACGGTGAGGGTCAACGTAGTGCTCCAACCAGCTGGGGAAGATAACAAACGTACCCGCAGTAGCCTGATGCACACATGTATACACAAACACATGCACACACGCATGTACACACACACACACACACACTCATGCACACACAAACACACAGAGGCAATGGTACAGATGAGCAAGTACATCCATGAACAAAATAATGCAGAAGAATACGGGCCAGTATCAAATGAACATACTGTGGGAGGTTATGACTCCGTAGAAAACAAATGTCTACCTTACGAGAGTACATGTAGCTTGTTTTCATTGCAACAGGTATTGAGAGGGCCCGGAGTGGCAGGTGTGTTACTCAAGTGTATTCAACGTAGTCCAGTCACCACACCAGCTAATGGCCGTCATACGTACTACGCATAGTCAAAATAGGCAAATTGGCGACTATGAGGTTGCCAGTGGTATATAGTCACCACACCACAGATGTGCTATTGCACATAGTCACCACACCACAGATGTACTCTGGTACATAGTCACCACATCACAGATGTGCAAGCTACGCCCCAGAGTGGTACTACGCGTAGACTTACATTACGACTGTGCACACTCTGGTCATCATCAGCTCCTGCTGTTGCCCGGGGGTCGATGAAGTGTAGCTGTGATGTGGCATCTCCACCATTGCTGACATAGTACACACCAGACACTGCGGCCAGACACAAACAATCAAACAGGACGAGAGAAACAACAGCAACCGCAACACAGACACAGGCGCGCACACCAGCACCAGCACCACCACCAGCACCACCAGCAGCAGCAGAAAGTAGCAGCAACAGCCGCGACAGCAACAAAAGCAGCAGCAGCAACTTCTTAGTAGAGCCACAAGGCAGAAGCAGTGTTTTTTAGCTCATAGACGTTTCGTATGTTGATGAGCATAAGACTGAAGCTCTCAGTTAATATGGCTGTGATGTTCAGGAGTGCAACGGATGGTGCAACTAATGACAGGAACGCAACAGATGCTATTTGTACAAGCCCATGGAAGGACTGGTAGGAATACAACGGCAAGTATCCAAGAGTCACATAGACTGATAGTGACCCAACCAAGGAGCTGTGAAAGTAAGCTCTCAAGGAGCATGGAGTAAAAAAGTTTTAAAACATTGTTTTTCCCCTGAAGATCATATTCAAAGGAGAGTTCAGAATAACACTGGGAAGTCATGCTCTGGTGGAAAACTGTTTTACATGGGCTCAAGATACAAAGCGAGCAAACAGCTGCCAGTTTCTTTTCTGTCCCAGCAACCCAACTACCCAAGATATGTATAATATACAAGTACAAGAGCGAAAGGCAGTGCGATGATGATTGCCAGTTTGTCTTGTTGTGTTTCGGCTGTGATAGCAAGCAATGCAGTGCTCTTTGCGTGAACTTCAACAAAAGCCAGCACCCACCACAATATTTCAGATAGAGAGCGTTGGACAAGCAGCCCTGATAACAGTGCATGACTAGTGTAACAGTGTACAATGCAATTGTTACCTGTAGAAGCTGGATGAGTATGCGGGGCATTGCTATCACCCAGTCTGCACAATACAACAGTAAAGCGCACTCACACACACACACACACACACACACACACACACACACACACACACACACACACACACACGCGCACACACACACACACACACACACACACACACACACACGCGCACACACACACACACACACACACACACACACACATACAAATCAAAAAATCTAACAATCTACCATACACTACAACAGCAGCAATACTCTAATACACTGCAAGACACTTGCCAGGCTTTTGACCAGCATGCACCCGCAACCACCACACAGCCTCGACCGCCACAGCAAATACAGACACCAACGCCACTACTGCTAGAGTAGCGGTTACAAGCGCCACCGGTGCTTCAAATGCTACCACGGCTGCTGCAACCGCTACCGTCGCTGCTGCTGCAGCTGCCACCACCATTGCTCATGTAGCCTCGAACAGCGCTGCTGCTGCAGCTGCCACCACCACCGCTGCTGCATCTGCTGCAAACCCCAACACCACCGCTGCTGCCGCTACAGCAGCAGCCATGTAGCAGCAGCAGCCACATAGCAGCAGCAGCCACGTACCCGCAGCCACGTTGCAGTAGCAGCCACGTAACAGCAGCCACGTAGCAGCAGCCACGTAGCAGCAGCAGCAACGTAGCAGCAGCAGCCACGTAACAGCAGCCACGTAGCAGCAGCAGCCACCACCATCACCACCGCTGCTGCCGCTACAGCAGCAGCCACATAGCAGCAGCAGCAACGTAGCAGCAGCAGCCACGTAACAGCAGCCACAGCAGCAGCCACCACCATCACCACCACTGCTGCTGCTACTGGTTGTGCTGATGTAGCCGCCACCACTGCCGCCACAACCGCTTCGAAACTGCTGCTGCTGCAACTACTGCTTGACACAATATCTTTACTAAAGCTCAACGAAATGTGAGAACAGAAAGGAAACACAGGAACACAGCATATTCAAATGGAAAGAATTCCAATAGTCACGTGTGCATGCCACTCAAGCACAGATGATGATCCCTCTGCATTCAATGCCTGATCAGGCTGCTACTGCTGCTGGAGGTGCTACTGCTGCCAACACCAATGCTGCTTGCGCTACTACTGCTGCTGCGGTTGCTTCAGTCGCCACCAACTCAGCAAAAATGCATATCGCATGGCCATGAATATAAGCCTTCGCACCTTATTACACTGAACTTCAAGGGTAAAGAAGGGGTTGTGACATACTATCCAGTGTGTTATCCTACATTGTGTAAATATATTGAAAGAATATGCCCCAGACCTGAAAATGGAGGCACGGCGTACAACCGAGTGCAACTTACAATCGGGGGAAATACGGGCATGAACTATTTCCAATCAGCTGGAAGTACTGCTGTTGAATGACAACACCCTTACCGTTGGTCACAGGCAGAAAACTGAATAGCAGCATTTTGGAACAATGTACGTACGACTACAGGACTTGCAGTGATGCCAGGATGAATGTGCAAGATATAGCGATTTCGTTCCAGCAAGGCTCCAGGAGCAGAGTGCACACACATTAATCAGTGTGTATCGGTGTGTGCTTGTCCTGCGTCATAGACAAGCAAGAGCCAAGAAAGGCAGGACTACCGCCTACATTCCACTACACCCACCTGTTGACATTGGCCCAGGAATATTCAATATCAATAGCGACAAAGCACTTTCCACTTGATGACTCATCAATGACATCATACTCTTCGAGTTCTTCCAGGTACTGCACTATGACAGTATAGGTCTGAGAGCAATAGGAAAAAGAAAATACACAATATAGCAAGGTGTATGACTAGACCCTGGGACGGTGGAACCAGTAACTAGCATATGCTGTGGAAAGACAACGCATGGTGGAGCAAAGTAAGGGTATGGCGTACGCTACTACAGCCGTGCTCGGTGAAATCTGACCTAAAGTGCATAATATTAGGTGCCATCAACTTTCACGGTCCTTGGCATGCTGGAAGTTGTACGAGTGCGGCTGGTTGGGCATACACATGTACCAGTACAGTCATGTAATCAGAACTGTACAGGTCCAGGGCAACACCCTTTTGTACTTCTGGTCGGATTTCAGTGAGCGCAACTGTAGCGATACACTGCTGCATGTACCCCAACTGGATGAGGTCATTATCTGCTCGGGGAGTAGCTGCATTACATCACTGGCCATATCCCACACACTATGCACTCTTGCACGCACATAGTGCTGCCAACCATCTGGGTTTGTTTTGCGTACTTCGACTTCTGATTTTCCGTATTTTGCAGTGTTTTTCCATACTACCGTACTGGCAATATATGTTGCCGCAGTGAGGCCATGAAGCGTTACATTGGCCCATGTTTGCCGCACACAGGGCGTTACATGCAAAGTCGCACAGGAGCCGTTACACAGGTTTCTATATTGCCGCAGTCCTTTTTTTTGCTATTGCCGCATCACTTTTTTTACTATTGCCGCATCATTTTTTTGCTTTTGCCGCATCATTTTTTCTTGTGCAGTGCAAACTGCAATG